TCATGCCTCATATATGGCGTTGCGGTTTCGACTGGTTTAGGGTAAGATTATTAGATCATTTTTATACCGTGCCTAACCGATTATCAACCCAAGATAATCTGTAATTGCAAATATGACCCGAATTAAACTCGACCCGAATGTGATATCTAATTGGCAAATTTACCTCACTCACCTGTGCTTGGGGAGTTGTGTCTTGTTTTTGGCATGAGCTGGCACTTAAAACTGTGTGTACAAAACCTACAGCTAGAGGTGGCACGTAATCAATCCTGTTTTTACATGCAATACAGGCTATACAACTATTCTTGTTCAATGTTTATCATGTGTGTCTCTTTCATTGACCCATAAAAAATATATAATTTATAAAATTATAAGGTTTTTTTTTTTTTTTTTTTTTTTTTTTTAATTTTTTAGAGAAAAATTATAAGCTTTCTTGTTTGGTAGAGAAATACATCAGCCAAGTGGCATGCATCCCTTGAACGAGGTTTCTTTTAACATTATCTAGTGGAAATTCTAATTTTCTAATTCAATACTCTATTAGAATAAGTAATTTTCAATGGAAAATTAAAGAATTGTACATCAATTATTAGTTTATTCTCCGTACTCGGTAATCGTATCAACTAAACTCAGCATTGTTTTCGGATGTACTAGTTGACAATACGCCTAACATTATCGTAAAAAGGTGGTCTAAACTCTAATGTCCTTTTTGTCCAACCCTCCATTTTCATCCACTTATAGTCTTTTACTGAATTTTAGATTTGCAAATCAAAGGACGTACTTTCTTCACACACACAAAAAAAAAAGAAAAAAAATAATAAATAAATAAAAAAAATAAAAGGACGTACTTCCTAGAAAAAAAAAAGAATGATTAATGGTAAATTTTCTTTTACTCAGTAATAAAGAAACAAAGTGGATGAATGATTGAATCATGCACTAATATAAGGGCCTGTTCTAATAGACTGAAATCAGTTGAACTGAACTAAACTAAAATAAATATTTTATTACAGAAGGAAATTAGGAGTTGAATTGAACTGAACTTAAATGAGATGAACTGAACTGAAAATAAACGTACGAGAACAGGCCCTAAGTTTTAGGGTGCATTTGTTTTAATTTTGCCCATTTACGGTAGTCGTTTAAAAAATGACTATCATATTATTTTTATGATATACTTTACAATATGATTGGTTCTTTTTTTCACCTTATAAAATAGTTACAATTAGTCTTATTATATCTACATTGCAAATATATTTTTTGAAATTTTTAATCCAACATAAGATAAATATTTTTCGAGAAACTATAAAATAAGAATAATAATTACATAAATGAAACTTAAAAATTTGATAAATCAAAAAATTGTTGATAATACTATTTTATACCTAAAATAAAGTAATATAATTAATTACTTGAAAAAAATATGTCAATTATAAACTATGTAATCATGAAAACATTATGGTAATTATATTTCAAATGACTACTAAAAAAATTTCAAAAAATAATTGCCTTATTGGCCGAAGGATGAATCAAGAGAATTGATTTAATCTCTACTCTATTCGATCGTTTCAGAAAAGTGACATGGTTAAATTTGACACCTTAAAAATGCATGCATTAGGGCTTGTTCTAATAGACTAAAATCAGTTGAACTGAAATGAAATGGATATTTTATAAGAGAAGGAAATTAGGACTTGAACTGAACAGAATTGAACTAAGGTAAACTGAACTGAACTAAACTGAACTGGATTGAAAATAAACGTATGAGAACAGACCCTAGTTTAACTACGAAGTACTTGTATATACTTCGTACATAACTATTTTATTAAAAAAAAATAATTAATAAATGATAATAATAAAGAATATTTACAATTAATATATGGTTAACAACAATTTATACGAATAGTATAAAAAAGTCATATTGCATAATTGCTTTAACAAAGATAATAAGTTTAGTTTTTTTTTTATTTTTTTTTTTTTTTTTGAAAAAAAAAAATTAGCAAAGAGAACAAGAAAGTGTAAATAAAGAGAATTTCCCATTAATTTTATGGGAGTCAAGTGCAAAATCTCCATTTTCCTCATGCAATGCATTCACCATTAAATAAAATCATCCATTGCTATTTCTTGACTTCTTGTTCATTCCCAAATTCCTCAATTCAATAGTATATATTCAAATGTTGAATATTTAAGTCAAAATCCAATTTTGAATTCAAAATTGTTCAAGTTCATGAATCATAAATGTAATTGGAAATTCTTCCTTTTCGTTTGTGGAATAAACATGCATGATTTTGATTTTGATTTTGATTTTGATTTTGATTTTGATTTTGATGGGTGGTTTCATTTGCTTATCCAATAGATTTTTCTAGTGGTGTCTAATTTTCTGTTTTGATATTTATATGTCATGTAATCATCCGGTACTAGAATGTCATGGTGCGTCCAATTAAATTTCTGCCCCACTTTTATAATACAATTGGTCGTATTATGTACTAAGTGCATAATATAGCCAATACGGAGTACTATTTAATTTAGATTACTATCTAATAAGATTGATCCATTTGTTTATTTGGGAGCCAAAAAATAAACCAGCCCCGTTCCTAGAAATTTATGGGGCCCTAGGCATAATGTAAGAAAAGGGCCCCTTACGTAAACAAATTTTTTTACACGCAATAGCTTTAAATATAAGACAATGAAAATAACTTAAATTATTTGAATAATAAGTCTCCATGCACAATACTGGAGTAATAACTTTGCATAATATTTTGGTAATTGAATAAATATGAGTAATTGAAAAGATTAATATTTTGAAACAGATACTCATAAAATCGGAAGATTAGAAGAAGAAGAAGAAGAAGAGGTTATATTGCATAATTATCTCCACCTAATTGACATCTAAGTAATTTAATATTAATTGCTAACTAAATGCATTTATTATCTTTTTTAAAAGTAGCTTATTTTTTAACGAGTAAAAACTACAGTTTAGACAGTTTAAATTCTACAACTATGCAAATTGATTTTTTTTGGGGGGTTACTAAATGCCACAATAGAATTACTTAGGGCGCGGTATTAAATTACTCATTTACCCTTATAACTTACATGTTTGACATCATTCAATTTTTCTCACCAACCATACTCCTTCCACCACCATCACCCTAAACACCATCACCACCACCACCACCACCACCACCCTAAGGTTGCCGGAATCACCATCACGTTAAACACCATCACATTAAACACTATCACCACCACCACCACCCTAAGGTCGCCGGAATCATCCAATTTTCTCACTATCTATCACACCAAATAAACTAATTATCATACCAAATCAACCGGAAAAAAGGAAGAGGTTTAATACAATGGAATCGCGGCGTGGGAAGGGGGTTCATTTGCCGGGAAATGTGGGGAAAACAACGGTAAGTTTTTTTTTTTTTTTTTTTTTTTTTTTTTTTTTTTAAATAAATTTTCGCACAAAAACCATAGTCGCGTGCTATATGCGACTCCACCACGGCATAGTCGCATATAGCGCGATTACACCGTGGTGGAGTCGCATATAGCGTGCGACTACGCCACGGTACAGTCGCATATAGCGTGCGACTCTACCACGGTGTAGTCGCATGTAACATGCGACTGTACCATGGCATAGTCGCATGCTATATGCGACCGGGTACAACGAAAATTGAAAAAAAAGTCCGACATATACTTGACTCGACGGTTGTCGTCCCCACCAAGTGCCTCCGATATGAACGCCGACCGTCGTCGACTCATTTTATATGTCGTGGGTGGTGGACCATTCAAGGTGGAGCTGTGGTGTATGATGGTCAAGGTGGAGTCGTGGTGGACCGGTCAAGGTGAAGCCGTGGTGGACCGGTCAAGGTGGAGTCGTGGTGGTGGCCCAGTCAAAGGTGAGTGGTGGTATGGGTGGTGGAGCATATGACAAAGTTAGTAGTTAATAATGGTTGGATTATTAAGTAATTTTCAAAATTATAAGGGGCATAAACGTCTTTTAATACTATAACTTGAGTAATTTCATTGTGCCAAATAGCAATTCACTTTTTTTTTTGAATTTTTGGGCCCCTTTTTGGCGTGGACCCTAGGCGGTCGCACTCGAGGCCTACCCCTCCGGGCCGGCCCTGAATAAACACTACTTGTTATATAACTTATATGCACATGGTATAATCAATTGTACTTCATAACTGCATAACAAATTGTCCAAGCCTAGGATTCAATTATTTTTGTCTTAAAAGTACTCTACCAACATAGGCATATAACGTACCAAATCAAACTTGGTCTAGTGAAAAGGAGAGTACCTTCCAACCATGAGGTCGGGGGTTCAATCCCCACTAATGACAATTTGGGGAGTGGGATTCTCTTATATTCCCCACTCTTCCGAATTGTCTAGCCCGTTATCCCCGATCGGGAGGACCTGTGAGAGGTTTCGGCCAGTTAAATTTTTTTAAAAATCAATGACTTAAAATCTCTGGAACAAAATTCTCATGTTATGGGCCTAAATAGTACCAAGGCAATCATCTAACTTCCTGTTTTCTACTTTTCTACAGTTGAGTACCGACATTGTTACAAATCTTTCATTTTGGTTAAACAAGCTAAAATTACTCCAATTATGATAATATCCATCTCCGATTAGATTATTCATGTAGAGTTTACCCATCCCTTAAAATTGTGAATTGTTTCAGTAGTTTCTCACATGAGTAGCTTATGTGGTTTAATCGAAGTGACCTACTTCAACAAGCGAGAATGTAGCGAGTAATTTCATACAGGGATCCTGCACACTAGCACCTGTTCAAAGTTCAAACAAGGGTGCACAATTTCTTCACAATCTACAATCCAATGATCCATGGCATATCAGATAACCTATTCTTCCCTGTTAGGCCATAACGATTTCTTTGAAGGAAGACAGAACTATGGCGCTTGCTTCCCTGAGTCACTTTTCGCAACACTGAATTCTAATAGTTCAATCAGTCATAGACCCACAGAGCAATTTATCAATCATATTCAAATCCTATGTGTAAAAGACTTGATCATATAACAACTTGACAGTAGTTACAATTTGCATCTACGCGATCCCAAGTGAATAAATAACTTCCAACTCCTTTCCCTTCGGCGGAGAGAAGATTTATTCAGCAATAACTAAGGGGGCTAAATAACACAAACCAAATAGGAGTAATTACCAATGCAAAGTTGCAAACCCCATGAGTAATTTAATTAGTCAACCAAACAGCTTACAAAAATGTGAGTCAAAACATTCTGTGGTCTATGGAGCAACATTTACAACGTTTAACTAACAATGGGGAATGGACACCAACATTTTACTAGCACTGAAGAATCGACTCCACAAGCTCTTGCAACGGGGCTAGTTCGCCCTTGTCAATCAAGCGGAATTCCTGCGTCATAGCAGAAGTCAATCAGAATCACACATTTCACAACTGATCCTGCATTACGGCTTAGAAATAAATTTGTAGTAAAGCCTAATCTAGAAAGTGATTTCATCTGATACGGAATAATTTACATCCAAATTCCATAAAGAATTCTGATACAATGGCTTGTTATTAATGATGTACATCTCTGTCCAGACATTCAAATCGAGTATTATTTTTGGGTATCCAAACAAAATATGTCATCTTAATAAAAATAAAAATGGTTTATTATGAGATTTGTTTATTATGATAATATGCCCTTAAATTATCACCAGGGGGCAGTTTTGTATACCATGCCATGTCCTTAATTATAAGAGATTGCTAATAATTGCGGATGGAGGGTGAACATGATACGTGATAATTGGGAAGAACAATGTCCACTACCTATGCGAAACATTTCATGTGATAGACAAAACCCAAGCAAAAAAGAAAAGGGGGGGGGGGGGATCAATCATAGCTCCAGCCTGAATAGAGAAAAATCTTACCCATGTAAAAAGAACAAAATGCTTAAAGCAAGTATTGAGATGAGCTTCTTCCTTCAAGCTTACAATCTTCTGAAAATGAGAGTGATAGATGTGTGCATAAACACGGAACAGCCTCTTGAAGATAGTCTTGACAACGTCCTGGAAATTTGCAGGAAAAGGTGACCCTGCATGACAAAAATATGAAACAAAAGTTGTTTTACATTTGTCGTAGTAACATGGAAAACACACAGACCTATTTTAACCAATTTAAAAGAACTTCGCGTACCCAATTTTTGGGGAAATATTGATTCATCATCAAGCTGAGCTTCAATCCAGTCCATCAGATATTCAACATATTTTGGAGCAGACACTTCAATGGGTTTCTTTATGGTAACTCCATCAGCCCATCTATACTCGTATCTGTAGAGAGAATGCTTTATTATATACTTCAAAGTGACAAATGTAATTGCAAAAATGCTCATGAACTCGTCGCAGTAACTAAAATTAAAAAGTGATCAGCAAATTTATTAGTAGAACAAGAGGAAGAAATCAAGTCTAGAAATGTCCACTACAGAGGTATATTCTAGGGGACATCATCAAAGAAAAAGAGAACCTACTTCCTTCGCTCAAGGTGTAGAGAGTACAGGGATCTATTGTAGGAAAAAAATCAACACTTCACTTTGCAAGCTTAGTGTGAATCCCCCCGTAGAAAGAAATATGCAACTGACGACAAAAGTTGACGCATAGCCTGCCTACGGTAACACTTATACTGAGTTGTTTATGGACTAAGAAAATTTAGCCAGCTTGCAGATATCTAATGCTTCTCTAGTATTAGTTGAAGATTATCAGAAGTTACTTTATGCACCCAATCTTCTGCATTGATTAAAAGAGGTTCTGTCAAAAGGGATTGGAGATTTTTTCTTCCTAATTTTTCAATCAATATGCAAAGCGCAGGAACCTGTATTTATCGTCCTACACGGAGACAACAGGGAAGATGGGTTCTAGCTTAACCCCTGAAGAATGGATTCTCGTGTCTTAGTTGTGGCGGCTCATAAATGACATAAACCCAATTGTTGCATACGTCAGATATGTGGCATGCTTAAGTAGATTTCATGATATACTTCTTATTTACTAAAATGCTTAAGATTGACTATTCTACACTTAGGGTCCAAAATATAGGACAAATGAGGTGTTTAAATCAAATTCATGTTAGCAAATGAGATACATAACCATGAAAAAGGAAAAGGATGAGAAAATTATTCTAAGGGAACCAAAAAATTTTGGACTGCAAATATCACTAAGTTCTTGTGGTGCGAAAAGAGGAGGGCACAGAAGACAAAGATATCACCAGCACAATTAATTAAATCACACAAAGCAGAGGAAGCTTAAAATGGCAGAGCTTCTATGCTACACATGAATACATGATCTTCACCAAACACTCAATGGTCAATATTATCATTCAAATACAGTTAAAACCAAGAAGGCCAGAGAATGACATGAACAAACTGATTATATTTGACTAACTACTGAATTTCAATGTAGACAAGGCTTGGAAATGCTTCAATTTTATTTATTCAGGAATTAAGAAACATACTTTGGTCCTGCAGTCATTGTTGGGCAGCTGGTTGCCGTACAGAACTCAGTGAGAGTTCCATAGAGAATGTTAACTTGATTGAAGAAGTCCACCGCTGCAAGATGATAAAATGAATTGTTGTCAATAGACTGACCTTAGACATATTACACACTAGAGGAATCACAATCTCACATGTCCATTTAACTTGTAATTTGACTGAATATGAGTGGGAGAACACAGATTAGTGGCATGCAGTCGAACTGCACAAGGTAACAGCATGGAAGCAACAACCCTATATTACCTTTTAAAAGATTTGAAGTCATTGAAGGAAAATATCCATATTAAATTGCTCGGCTTTATGACAGTAATAATCTCATTTCCTATTCTAATTATCTGTTGTCGTAATCCTAAATATTCTATCAACAAGCAACATGAATATGATAGGGCAGTGTGGTCATATAACCAAAACTGTGGCCAGTTAATCAATGACAAAGAAACCATAGCAGTAAATGTTCCGAGACTTAACTGTTCACCGCCAGCCATTCATTAAAATCTTCTCCAGGAGGTAACTTCACAGCTTCCCTCAGGTTTCCACTACCCAAGGTAGCGTCGATGTGTTTTTGAAGTTGAGCACCCTGGGAGTTAACACAAAGAAGTGTAAATGCCAAATAACGGAACAGAAAAAGATGGAATCCTACTAGTGTTGGAAACTGACCTTACTCCCAGAGGGTGCATTCTTCTTTGGGCGAAAAGTCTTCTGGTTTCTGCAAAGATCATAATCAGAAAACGAAACTAAGTTAGAAGGAAAAAGGCCATGAAAGTTAAGTCCAAAAGACTCTGGTAGAGATCAAGCATGATTTATTCGGTTATTCCACAGGCAGTGTGATCACAGCGCAGACAATCAGTACACGATGGCATTCCATAAAGTTGCATGACAATTTGATTATAAGCCAGCATAGGCATATACACATACATTAATTTCAACACAGATGCTCAAGGAATTAATCAATGCCTCTTCTACGCCCCGACTCTCAAGCTCCCAACAACCAAGATACAAGTATTCATGTGGACTGACTCAATCAACAATACACTTACTCCATTAAAATTCTTCAAGAATATCAAACCAACTTATCATACCGAACTTTCGATAGACTAGAAGGTCTAATACACATTCGATATCATAGACTAGATGAGAAACACAATGTCTACCAAAGCAAGTGCTTCACCAAGAAATTCGTGAGCATGATCACAATGTAATGACACATCATTAGGACCTAGTAATTTGAGTCATTATGTAGTAAATCACTTGATTTAGGTCTAAGCATAATAATCAGAATAATAAGATATGACAACTGGAAAGTGTGGATTCCAATAACCAGCAATGTTAAAAGGTACATTTCGAACAAACATGATAAAACAAATTATATAAAGCAGATTATGTTCCACTAATATATCTTAAAAGGGGATTAGGAATAAAGGTAAAAAAATTTCAATAGGGTAATTTGCTAAATATAAAATTAAACTCAACTACATGCTAAATAACCCCTTTTTTCATTTGTATGAATTAATTAAGTAATCCTTCAATAAAAAGATGCAATTTTTAACATTAAAAAAAAAAAAAAAAAAAAAATCAATCCCTAATCAATTTTACTCAAATTAAAATTTGATTACTGTACTGTTCCAACTTAAACCCCAAATAAAAAATAAAAAAAAAAAACCCAGATCACATCAATTATAATCACCAAAAATAATAACTCCAGTTTCTTCAAAAAGAATTAACATGGGATTAGCTAGAAATAAAAAATAATAAATTAATGGAGATCATGAAATTACAAACCCAAAAATAAAAACAAAAATTTAAAAACAATACAAAAATTCACCTGCTTCCAAGGCCAAAGAGACTCATAATGATGATGAATTGAAAGAAATTACAAATTTTATTAATTAATTTTTAATCAATGAATTTCTGCTATCTGTTGAGAGCAATAGAAGAATGAAAGGGGGAAGACGAAAATCAAAGGGGTTGAAAAAAAAGGTTATATATACTATAGTTTTAATTAATACTGATAATAGCATTAATTACACCCAAAGAGAATAAAATTTTTTAAAAAAAAAGAGTAGAAGTGGGCTAAAAAAGCCAGACTGTCAAATCTTACTGTATTATGTAGACAGGTCGATGTTCTTCCTTAATATGCCATTCTCCATCTCAATATGACCTGGCTTTCTGGATTCTCTCTATTTCTGTTTATTCCTCTATTTTCTGCTTTCTTTTATTTTATTTTTTAAAAAATACATTAAAAATAAATAGAGGATGAAGTTGTGTAAAATGTGCATCTTGGACCTTGGTCAACCAACTTACCAACACACGGGTAATAATTCGAGGTGCCAAAACCAATCCTAACCGACTCGAAAAAAATATCCGTATCGAACTGTAATCAATCCGAGAAATTCTAGACCCAAGCTCGATCTGTAACCGAACTGAACTCAACCCGAATCCGAACTTGACCCGATCTGAACTTAACTCGGTATCGATTTGATTCGACCTGAACTCAACCCGAATCCGAACTTGACCCGATCTGAACTTAACTCGGTATCGATTTGATTCGACCTGAACTCAACCCGAATCCGATTTGACTCAAACTGAACTCAAATCGACCGATTTGATCCGACCCGAGCTCAACCCGATTCAAAATTGACCCGACAAATAACCGATCTAATCCGATCTGTTTTGACCAGAACTGATATTAACCCGACCCGATTTTAACTCGATTTGATTTTTACCCGATCCGAATTTAACCCGACCATAATTAATTATTGACCTTTTTATTCAAGTTTTTATACTACTATATTTACTAATTATTAATAAGTTAATGTTTTTTACTACAAAGAAATAATCTGGAGTAACAAGTTTACTTCATGTATATACCAATTATATAAAATTTCTTTCTAAGCTATATATTCGTGATTCGTCTCGCCTAAAATTTGCTACAAATAATGTGTAATACTTGAACATTAAAACCTCTTCTTTCAACTCGATAAAAACTATGATACATGAATGACTTGATATTGACCCAATAATAAGGTAAAAACACAATAATAACTCTAGTTTAAAACTGATTAACCTTATTTGGATATGAATTGGGTCAATTCGATTAAAATCCAGCCAAACACAAGAAAGGAATTGAATTGAAATCAAGCAATTAATGAATCAACATATTAACCTTATTTTAATCAAACTGAACTTGATCGAGCTGAAAATCATCCGAACCGAAATCAACCCGACCCAAATTCATCTGACCCGAAATTAACCCGGTTAAACTCGTTTTGAACTCGATCTGAATTAAATCGAACATGAACCGACCTGGAGTTGACCCGATCCATATCCGACCCGAACTCGATCAGAAATTGATCCGACCCAAATTTGACCCAATCCGAATTAAAAGAATAATTTTGACCCGAACATATCCGACCCGAACAGACCAGATCCAAATAGACCCAACCCAAATTCCATCTGGTTATCCAAATTGACACCTCTAGTAATATTATACGGAGTTTGAGAATATCTATGTGATAAATCGAGTCGAAGGCTACGTTTAAACCCCACTATGTTAATTTTTCAAAAAAAAAAAAACCCAACTCTTTTAATTGAGTTTGAATTTTTTTGGATATAATCTCGAAGAAGTTATTTGGTCAATTGATTTGGGAGGAGTAAGTTTTTTTTAAGTCAATTATTGATGTCCAAGAGGCAAATATATCTCAGTTAAACAGGGTTGTGGGCCACGCCTCGTAACGGATTCGTGTGCTTTGGGGTTAGCTAGGCTTGGGGCATGAGTTGCTTGCTTGTCTTGCCGTGTCAAAATTCTTAAAGAGAGCCAATGCAACGAGTTGCAAAGAGTCAACCTACGCGCCATCGTGCTTGCATTAATAGTTGGTTCGTGGAGGCGGATGCACGATCCACATGGTGCATTCGCTCCAAAATACAAAAAGGCGGAATGAACATTCAGATATATACTAATGAACATGGTCATATAAAAGAACATAGTAATTATTTATAATGTACATGGACATATGCATAAAAGAACATAGTGTTCATTTGTAATGTACATCAGTTTTTTATGCAACAATTTTGTATATATATTTTTTTTAAAAGAAATATTGTATAATGAAATAGATAAATAGTACTATAATTAATTTTTTTTACCATACATTAATTACAAATCATTTCAAATTTTTTTTTACCAAAAGTTCACTTTCTCTCTTCAAACAAAACTTCAAACCCATTTAAATTCCTCAAACCTCAAACAAAATTTCAAGAAATTCGAAATTTTGAGCCCAAAATTGTTCAAGATGACAAATAAAAACGAAAGGTAAGACCAAATTCGACATTTATACTTGTTTATTTGACATTCATAATTGTTTATTTTGAGTTTGAGTGTTTGTTTTTTATAAATTTGATTGAAAATTGTAATATTTGATTTGATTGAAAATTAATTGCGATTTTGATATAATTTTGTTGTTGCAACGAGAAATAAAATGAAATTCTTGAAGAAGATCAATCGATTAATATATTTTGGAAGAAGAAAGCAAGCAAATAGACAAATTTAGAAAAAGTTGTAGATCCAAATAATTCAATGTACATTAAAATATAGTAAAATGTTCTTTTTTCATATACTTATATGATGCAAATAATACAATGTACATAAAACATGTAACCAACATAATACAATGTACATTATAATACAGTAAAATGTACATTTTCATATACATACATGATCATTTATACCAAATGTACATTTACTATATGAATAATGTTTTTTAATATTATCATGTTCTTTACTAATATTACAAATGTTCTTTAGATTTACAAAAAAAAACATATAAACTGGATGTTCTTTATAAAATAGCTATATGTTCTTTACAAAACAACTATATGTTCTTTACTGAATAGCTAAATGTTCATTCCGTCTTTTTTTAAAGAACACTGAATCCACAGAAAAAAAATTCATGCTTGCATGCCTAGTATAATTTAATTGATTTTAGTGTGCTTTGTTGTGTAAAATCGGACTTGCTGTACCTTTGCAAAGAGTGAATCTACGTGCCATCGTGCTTGGATGTGCTTTGTTGTGTAAAGTCGAACTTGCTATACCTTGTCATGCCTTTTCCAAATAATCGGCCCTAGCCCAACTAACGAATGGAGACACATACAATAACGTGCCTTCTCGTTTCCTCAAAAAAAAAAAAAAAAAAAAATAAAAAAAAAAATAATGTGCCTTCTCGTGCTTACAATAATGTGACATGGTTTTTATTTTTTCCTTTCTTTCTTGTTAGGTTGTGTCATGGCTTGGGCCAATCCGATTCGATCCAATATCACCTTTAATCTCATTATAATTTTAAATTTCCAATCAAGAAACTTTTATTTATTTTTTGTTAAATAAATTCTAGAAACATATTAAATGAGCTAATGTATCATAAGTAATTATTACTAAACGAGCCAAACATCATTCATAAGCAAAAGATTTTTGGTTAAAATTTTGGTATCCTGCATAGATCCCCAGGTGTATTGTAAATTCGTAATGCCAACATGCATATAAATACAAAAAGGAGGCACCCCAGTTGCTCTTCTTGAGAAACAAGAAGAGTTTCTCTAATGGCATTTGTGTATTTAAAATGCATTGGGAATTGTAAATTAATGGTACTCCCTTCGTCCCTTATTATAAAGTCTCATTTCCTTTTTGGGTAAACTAAAATACAATGCCTCTTTCTATTTACGGTTGTATTTTTTTACTTTATTACCCTTTTTTAATGAGTTTGTCAGCTTTAAATTTAAGTCTTTAATCCTTTACTTTTTTTTGTACTTTTAACATCAATTTCCAACACTTTCTCTCTCTATTTCTTTCATTATTCTCAATTACTTTTTGTTTCTCTCTGTCTCTCTCTAACCCCACATGCATATATGTACTTTTAATCATTAGTCTTAAAGAAATTAAAACTTTCTTAATTCCCGCGCAAAAATCAAAAGAGGTTTTGTATTAAGGGACGAAGGGAGGATTATAATCAGAAGAAATGCTGACTGTAAAATCCACTATAGTTGATGACTTGGACTAATCTAGACGGCGTTATTAGATTTGCGTTTTATCGTTAGCGGCGTTGCAGCACCATTGCAGCTTTGTCTTCGCCTCCACCGAAAACAAACACTAACACCATCACCTTCTTCTTCCGTCTCCACCGACAACAACCATCGATACCATCATCTTCCTCTTTCGGCTCCACCAAGGACAACCACCATTATAAACGGCGAACATAGGTGGCTTCGCCGCCAAAATCAAACGAAAAACCCTATAAGAAAAGGTAAAATTTATGGTATGGTCAACCCCAAAGGGTAAGGGTGACCATATTCCATTGAAGCTATCATCAACTCGAATTCCTCCATTGAAGTTGTTATCGAGCTAGGATTCCTCCATTTAAACTCGATTTCCTCTATTGAAGTTTATTCCTACTGTTAGCCACTCTTTTAATTGATCGACACCTCGGATTGACCTTCCGGATAGTACAGACGACAGAGGTAAATTGCAAAAGGGGGTAAGTTGAACAAGGGGGTAACTTTGGCTAACAATAGGGATAACGTCGTTTAACATTAGGTTCACTCCGTCAAAAGGTAATTCCCTTATGAGAACGCTTGAGAAACTTGGAATTACCCTATAAAAAGCGTCAACTACATATACATTTATGCAATACTTTTGAGCCTATAAATTTGTTTTAGGCCACTAGATTTGATGATCCGAGGAGGTTTTTCACTTTTTTAAAAGAGTTGGTTCAAGAGAAAACATTACATGTGGGGTTTTATAGTTAATCATTTTTCATTATTCTTTATCTTCTTTTTGAACAATCTCTCTTCCAAAAAGACTATGGGACAAATTTAATAACACAACTAGAGAGAAACAATAATGGGGCTAATGACTTTAAAATATACTCCGTAAAACACAATCCATAGACCTTAATTTGGAAGCCTATTCAAAGAGACAAAGAGGCATACAACATAACTCCAAGAGGCAAGAGTAATTGACTAATAAGTAATAACGTAC